TTTTTTTTTTTTTTTTTTTTTTTGTTTAATTACAATGCGTAGAAAAATCTGTAACAGGTTTTTATAGTATAACGTGAAAAAATCGTTGCAATTTTTAAATGCGGTTATTGTTTGATTATCAGAAGCCACGAGCAGATTTCCCGGTGTTTGCACTGGAATCCAATTTTGATATTCAATTGACATATCATGTGCATATATTCCCACACGTGCATTACATCGAGTTAAGTAAATTTGACTCGTGGGCTTTCGTTAGTATTATTTTACCATTAATTTTCCATTCGATTATTCAATACATGGAAATTTAGCCTATCAATGTATATTTTATCATTTGTTTTCAAATGAAAACTTAGTAAAATAATTGGAGAATTTTTCATGAAAAAAATTTCAATGAAAAAAAAAATTTTTTTTACAGTTTTCTTAACTATTTACAGATGAATCCATCCAACTCGTTAATAAATAAATAATTAATTTAAAGAAGAATTTTTTCAACGTTGCCGACGAGCGAATCGAGATTTCACGGAATATCGAAATATTTAATAACTTTTGTCGTCCTCGTCGTCGTTAATTTCCTTGCCAATCTCAGACGCCCGTGAAACGATTCGTCTCATTATTATTAGCGAATTGCGCGACCACGCATATCGATCGACCGTATCTGCCCTGAAATTCCGTAACTGCGCATTTCGCAGGACCACATATGGATATCGACTTTTACTTCGTAACGTTTCTCCGCTAACGACACGTTTATTCGATTATTAACTACCGATTCCTTCCATATTTTCATTTTTCGAATTTTCGGGCCAACCAACTGACGAATCACGTAGTAGATTTCCTCTTTTTCTGATTCATCTATATTCTAACATCGCATATTTTTAACCATCGCATCGTTTTTTTTAATTTTGGACTAGAGATAAATATCGTTAAATAAAAATTGATGACAGTTGTCTTGTATTTTCTAATTTTTTATTTAGTTATTTTGTATTTATGTATTATATGTTTTTTTTGTAATGTGAGGAAGTGTACGTGTTGAAAGATAAAAAAAAAATTCAAATTTTTATATATATATCTTTTTATATATATATTATTATTTAATAGAGAAAAAAGATGTATTATTTTTAGAGAGAGAGAGAGTTTTTCTTTTGAATCTAAAATATTTCTACTTTTCAAATTTTCAAATTCTCTTCCAGTTCCAGAAATGCAATAAACTTTTCTTTTCATTTCATTACTTTGAACAAATTCACGAAACGCCCACGAGAGGCGTTAGCACGAATCTTGCATTTCAAAGACACACGTGTAAATTGAATTTTACGTATCAGTCGCGAGTTCATCCTTTCGTAGACAATTTCGAATTTACCTCGCAATTAAGTCGATCTTACACCTTAATTCGACGAGTAGAGATTGCGGAGTTAGTGTTCCATTTAATTTCGGTACCACTATTCGTCATATAAGACTACAATTCAGACGAACTACCGGATGGCTTGCATAACGGTTCCCATTTATTTAGAGCGTGTTTTTAGGTTAGGTTTGAAACGAGGCAGAAAGCGATATTGTCGAGTCTTCATATTTTTCCTTTGGTAAGCATATCCTTTCTTGTGGGACCTTATTTCTATTCCATGTGTTATACGAATGTTTTCACGAAAATTTATTGAAAGTATAGTAACTTATATTTGAAACGAAATGACAAGTAAAGTATAGGTTTCTTGTTCGACCGATTTGTCGATGTAAATAACAGTGGAAATTAAGCTTTCATTGTACATTTATTCCGAATCATCAAAATATTTGCATGAAAAGATTTCTATAAAAAAATAATTTTAATCTCGATACGTATTTTTATTTTCCATTTATACAAATAATTCTAACCAAATGGGATATATTCAACGATAGAACAAATAAACAGTTATTATAATTTTGGGACGAGTAAAATCGAAATTCAGAACGATCTTTTCTCTTCTCAAAAGATTTATACTTATTTCCTTGAATTCTTTTCGCGGTGTCGAATACGAGCACAGGTGGCCGTGACCCAATAACTCGTCTCGTTAATCATGTATTTTTATCATTTCATTTATTTACAAATAAATGGAAAAGAAAGAATTCCGTTTCGTTAGATAAACCAATAATTTCATGAATATTTAATGATATTTCAGCCTCGAAACGTAAACGAGAAGCCTCGTATTTATTTATTTGCACCGCTCTTCTCTCCCTCTTTACTTTTATTTTTCATTTTCAACTATAAAATAATATATATACAAACTCGAACGATTTCTACGAAATCGATATTTATATCCTATCGAATAATTTATCGCGCGATTCGACTTGTTCATGACATTCTTATGTTTAAATTATCGTTTCGATTTTGAATTTAAAATAGAGTTTCAATTAAAATCTTTTTTTTAAATCGAATTGTTAACTTTTGAATAGAAAAATTATAATATACGACAACATAACGACAACATTGTGCAAATTGATATTATTATGAGGAAATATTATCTAGTATCTTCAAATATAAAATTTAATAAATAATACGATAAGTAGCAATTATTTAATTTGAATGTTCGTTCGTATTATTTACCAATTCGAGGTTATTCATTTATTTAATGAATACCTATTTTAAAAGACGAGAGTCCATTAATTCCCATTTTTCTTACCTTTATTTCGAAAATAAATGAAAAGGCAGTTGAATATCTGCAGATATTCTCGTCTCATTTCGAAAATACTAATTCCTCGAACTACCTCTCTCTCTCTTTCTCTCTCTCTTTCTCTCCGACGTAATTTAATCTTTGCTTTCCAAATCACGAAGGATATCGTTCAAGCGTTTATTCGCTTGGACGAGAAACGTGATAAAATTCGAATCTAAAACTTCTTACCTTCCTTACCTTTCCTCCAATAATTTAATTCCTCTCGAATCTCAAATCTCCCCATTTGTTTCATTTTCGTTGAAAAATAATTTTCAAAAATTATCAATTCTTTTTTTCAAATTCCCCAAATACGAAAACAATTGAAAGCAACAAAATAATTATAAATATATTCTCCCTTTTGCGTTACAGGTATCATCAACAGGGGCGATTCGTTCAGAAGAAGAAGATCAAGATCGAACTCCCTCGCACCCACGGATCCTGAAGGCGAGGAAAAGAATTCGGTTCCTGCGAAAGAGATCACCTCGTACACGGTCGCTATACTCGGCGCTAGGGGTGTCGGAAAAACCGCCCTGATCAGCCAATTTATGACCAGCGAATGTATAAACGCGTACGATAGGCAAAGAGGTAAGTG